AACAACGAAAATACAGAGTAAACATCCACAAAATGAAATACTGAAACACAACAAACAGAAAAAAGACAAAAGATTTTACACGAAATTCCAATGTGTTTAACGTTCATGCATTTAAAATCGACACTATCGCCAACATCAAATACCTTTTGAGTAGCGACATCGTGCGACTAAATAAACCGAAGAAACAACTAACCCATACAAATGTTTTTTCAGAATAACATTTCTTCTTCTCCAAAATTCTCATTTGCTCCAATAGTTTTTCTCCGAACCATTTGTAAATATTTCCAAACGATTCCACATCGTAAACACAAAATTCCAGTTCATCGTAAAATCTTCATCCTCATTCGCACCATCAAATAATCTGTTTCGTAATCGCATAATTTGCATAAACCACCGCACCAACCAAATTCAATGCCGCTGCTATCACGAACGATGGCCACCAACGACCCGCCGATTCTACGACCAAACGTGCCGTCAAAGGACCTACAGTCATACCGGGCAGAGTTGCCTGCAAACACACATTTCTTAGGTTTCAATAAAATGACTGTGTATAACAATACAAAATAATTTTCCTGAAAATTTATCCAATGAAAAAAACCAAAAAAAAACAAATAAAATAAAATTTCATGAAACGAACAATTGTATTCGAAATAGCGAATGTGATTCCGGCATATTTCGGCGCCACATCGGCGTGATTGCTTAAATGTCCAGCCGAGTTGAACGCCAGTGCTCCCATACTCAACGAAATCATCCTGAATTCAAAATTACGCTCATTTTTCAAACATCGAATCACTTTTTATCTCAACCTATTATTCTTTTTTTCATAATATTTTTTTCATAATACTGTTTTTATTAGTATCATGAAATAAGGTTGTCGTATTCTTACTGTCCTTATTCATTTCTAAGGAATAAGGACAGTAAGGACATTATAATGTATTGTAATCCGAACATAATGTATTGTAACAGAAATACATTAAAAGGATAAGGACATTATTCTTATTTCACAGAATATTTCATAGAAAAACATAGAATCTAAGGATATAGAAGTAAGTATGTTCCTGTTTCATAATACTGAATACGACAATCTTCATTCATTCATCAACTGATCGTGAATGTCAGTTTCATGTATCACCATTCACTCGGAATGAAAATCAACTGAAGTGACAAAAAGAGAAACTCATCCAATACCCATGCGAAAATCATTCCGCAAAAAATTTTGGTGAAGTGATTACAAACTGAAAATTCTCAACAACTTACAAAATCGACAGAAAAAGACTTCTGACAAACGCAAATATCACTAAGAACAGAGCCGGTAGAACCAGTCCCAACACTGTGGCCATCACTCGAGCATTCCTTAGCGACATACGATGAGTATTCACTAAATTATCCACCATATGTCCAGTCACTGAAAAATCTTTGAATTTACTAAAACAATCTATCAATGCCGACCAAAATTATCATTCTTTTCAAACTTATTCCGTTTGCTGTAAACATCAACCAAGTTCAACTAACATCCATCATTTTCTTCCACAACAAAAAAATATCAATTTAAAGTTTCACTCAAAATCTTTCGACAAAATAAATGAAAACTCAACCTATCGTTGACGAATTCTCATACTACTAATCAAATCAACTCAATCGAAACTTGATCATACCATCAAATGATCAGTGACTGATCAAAACGAGTCTCCAAAACATAACAAATGAGATGAATAAAGCTACTAACCGACAGCGAAAATACTGTTGGCCAAATATGGCAGAGCAGCCAACGATACTGCCGTCGGATCCGCGTGGAATGTTACTCTCAAATAAGTTGGTAACCAATGCATGATCACATACGCTGTCCAATTCATACAAAAATGAGCGAAATATATGGCCAGCAATGGCGACAAACAAATGAAACGATCCCATGAGCGCAGTGGATTACGCATCTGAAGCAAATCTCTCTCTTTAACCACATTTTTAGATTATCCCCTCTGATCTCATCTCTCTCACGCACGTATAAAGAATCATTCTGCCCTGCGAAATCAAAAAGTGCTATATGAACGAACTGTTTGATAAAGAACTGACTAGGCTTATTACTATTACTGCATATTATTAATTTCTGACATCACTCAAAACCGGTGAAATGACAAAAGGAATAGATAATTCCCTATTGTAAAACATTAAATTATCCAGTGATTGAAGCAAGATACGAATGAAATTGAACAAAAGTAAGGAAAATTAATTCATTCA